GCCCGAGGAGCAAGCACAACAAACGCATCAAATGCCTCCATATTTTCAATCCTTTATGGAGACATTCGATTTCCGATACGCTACCATGGACTCGCGCTTTTCCTGTATAGAGTCTCATTTATCCACAATGGGAGCTCAACAATTAGAGATTCTTCGGGAGATGCGTGCAAACAATGATTCAACCAACGCTCGTATCAATGAACTCACTCACGAAATGGCCGCTATGCGAGCCCGTTTTCCTCCTCCCGACCCGGATGTTTTATTATGTGTTTAGTTTAAACCTTTATTGTTTCAACATTATATTTTGGATTGTTTGATTTTGTGGATTGTTGGATTTTGGATTTATGGATGTTGTGAACTTATATGTGTAGTGTGTTTTATTCGTTATTGCATCATCATTAGCAATATGACCAATTTTGCCATATCACATTATTTATGAATATTGATTTATGAAACTAATGGCTAACCTCTCTTTTGATTGTGATCTTAGCAGCTTAAGCTTATAATTAATAAATCAATTGGCTAAATGATTTCAAAACCTTGTTTTACAATGTCTTTTTGATTTAACAAAAAGGGGGAGAAGATTAAGTGTTAAATGTTTTACATGATAAATTGAAGAAGTGTTAAAGTAAGGGGGAGTAATTTCAAAACTTGATTTCAAAAATCTTAAAATTACTAAAATGTTTTGTTATATCAAAAAGGGGGAGATTGTTGAAACATTTTAATATTTCGATATAACAAATTAAGTTAAATGGATTTTAAGATTTTCCAAATGATTTTCTAAGTATATTCGATATAACTATTCGAATATCAAAATATTACTCCAAATATTTCAAAAATCATTTTTAATTCTTACTTAAGTGTAAAATTAAGTTTTAATCATAAAACAATTTCAAAATAATTTTACAAAGTATTTCGAACCAATTCAAAGCCAAAAATTCCAGATTGCTCAGAGGGAACCGATTCCCCCCCATAGGAGGAACCGATTCCCCCCTAAATGGTTTTGGCCCCGAGATTTCCAGAATGCTCGGATGGAACCGATTCCCCCCATAGGAGGAACCGATTCCCCCTAAACAGTTTTGCTCCGAGAATTCCAGTATGCTCGGAGGGAACCGATCCCCCCCAAGGGGGTACCGATTCCCCCCTTGTACAACGGTCGAAATATTTGAATTTTACACTTAGGAACCGTTTCCCTTCAAGGGGGAACCGATTCCCCCCACGCTCCAAGCTATTTTATTAAATGTTTTCACACTAAAACGGCTATAATATATTCTCTAATCATCCCCAACGTTCAGAAGTGATTCAAGGTGTATTTAAGCAAGCTTAGAAGCCATTGATCAAAAACAAGAAACATCAAGCAACTAGAATCAAGAGAGAATCAAAGAGAAAGCATCAAACCTCAAGTTTGAGCATTTCAAGCCTATTTTCATTCAATATTCATTTTGCTTTCAAGAAAACTTTTTGTGCTCAATTGTATTCATCTTTGAGTGTTCTTTTCTTTGTTCTAGAATTGTGCAAACATCTTACCTTGTGAGGTTTTCTTGTAAGTTTGCAAATTTGTAATCTTCTCTTTGAGAAAAGAGTGTTCTCAAGAGTTGGGGTACACTCTTGAGGGAATTGTAAGGTTATCTCTTTGGCCTCAAAAGAAAGAACAAATTAGTGAATTTGTTGGAAAATCCTTAGTGTGGATAGCTAAGGTAGTGGACGTAGACTTTGTTTGAGAAAGTTGAACCACTGTAAATCGCTGTGCAATTACTTTCAATTTTCTGCAAAAGCTTCCACAAAATTTTTTATTGCCAATTCACCCCCCTCTTGGCCAATTCCGTCATTCGATTAACTCAACACATATTTTAAGCTCAAACTCATTAAAAATTAAGACTCAATTATTTTTTTTAACCACACTAAACTCATTAAATTATCAAATACCTAATTAAAATTTTAACCCAAATAAAAAAAATACTTCTACTATATTCAAATTATTATAATTAAAAAATTATAAAAAATTCGATTAATTCGGTTAACCGACCGCAATAACCGAACTCTATTTGGTTCAATTAATATTTAAAAAAATAAATTCATTTCAATTAACGGTTAAAGAAAAAAATTCAATGAATTTTATTAATGAAAATTCAGTTCGATCGGAGATCAAATTAACCGTTTCAATACCCCTACTACCAATTTCAACGGTAGCTGTCTTCTTCTCCATTTCTCAGACTATTTCCAGCCCTATTATGAAACGTCAACTTTATTAGAAATAATATTTTAAAATTTAACAATAATATAAAATACTTTAAGGTAATAAATATCATATAATGATTTAAAATATAGGGTGTAAATTATATATATATATATTTTTGCCCAATTTTTATTTCACGTTTTATGCGTATATCTTGTCATATATGAATATCTATTGTAATTATGTGTATTTTTAAAACTAATAATAGTAATCATTTTTATAGAATAAATAATTAATAAAAGAAGAATTTAAAAAATTAAAGTAGACTAAATTATATTAATTGATCATTTATTTTATAATTATTAAAATACATAAATTAATAATTAAAGAATAAGATGTAACCATAAAATAAAAAGATTAAAAATTCATCCAAACAACTCGAAAAATATTATAAATATAAATAAATACCACAATCGACAGTGAAAGATAAACACAATCAATACTAACATAAAAATGCATATAACAATGTTGACATGTTCAATCGTAACCTATCATTAGTGCATGCGATCATCCATCACTAAAAGAGTATCAACTAAATGATCCAAAGTAGGAAAATATCAAAAAGATAATCGAGTGTATACTTACGAGAGGGGAGATGTCAAGTTAAGCTCTGAGAAAAAGAAGAAGAAAGAAAACGTGATATAAAAATAGATAAAATCATATATTAATTTCATACAAGAAAGGAGAAGATTAACTAGGAGAAAAGGAAAATAAAAAAATTAACAATTGATGTCCGGATCAAGATTGAATTAATGTCCACTATCATATTAAAAAATGAAATAACATTAAACTAAAAAAAATTATTAATTCAAGTGTAATTTTGAAAGATGTTGCAAAATAATAATAATTTTTAAATAAGCAGCTTAAATCAAGGTAGTCAATTCATGTAGGTTTGGTGTAATCTCGATTACAATTGTAATTAAAGAAAAGAAAGGGTAGATCTCCTTTTGATGGCTGTTCTTTGCATTATTATTGTTATTGTTCAACGGTGTCATTATCACAAAGATTGGGGTTGAGCACTGATAATTTCAGTACAAAATTCAAACTCGCAACCGACAATGGGATCTTCCCAAAATTTTGATGGATGGGATTGAGGAGGTGCCTAAATAATTGAGACACTTGCTTTTTGGGTGAGGTTGGAAGTAAACTATCTTATCTGCAACTTATACAAGTTACGCTCACGACATGAAAATTACAAGGTCCCTTACAAGGATATGCTTCAATGCTCTGGTAAGATGACCGAGTATCTAAAGTTTCAGCTTCCTTTTCTCTTTTGTTGTAAAGCTTCAAATTTTGAAAGTTTTTTTTTTTTTGGGGTGTAGGAAAAGGTCGTTTTTTAATTTGATTGGATAAGACAAATCAAAAAGGCTGTCACATTTTTTGTGTGTGCCTAATTTCACGTCTCATAATGTATCATATACATAATAAATGAATTTACATCAGAAATTGAATTTCATCGAAAAATTAAATTGAATCCAAAGATAAAACATTGAAAAATAAGTTTTCGAGTGTGAATTTGACGAAACGGATTTCAAATTCGGACTCAGGACGTCGAAAAACATAAAATATGACTTTTCAAATATTTCGACTTTTCGATCAAAGTCAACGGATCAAAGTTAAGGAATTGACTCATACAAATTGATTCAGTTTGGGTTGACTCGATTGGGTCAAACAGACTCGATTTTAACCGGGTTATCCGGTTCGGGTCGGTCTAAATTGTTCTAGAAAAAATCAGAATTGAGGGGCAAGCCCTACGCGCGTACGGCGGCGCGTGACAGCTAAGACGGGCTCGGGGCGGTCGGCCGATTACTCCACAAGCAGCTAAACACCATTATCAAGCCATAATCAACTCAACAACAGTCAAAATCCATCGGATATAAAAGAAAAAAGCCGAAACGCTTATCCACACTGGCGATCGACGAAACTGGCAACGTTGACGCGACCCACCGATCGAGTTTTGAGCGGAACAGGCTGAGGAACACGTTGGTGATGGCAGTGAGGCGAGACGATTGTCGGATCGTCCGGAATCAACGAGAAAGGAGACGACGACACTATGGTTTTCTCCCTTCGATTAACGACGCTCGGCAACCAATTGGGGTCGTTAGCGGTTGGGTACTGATCGCTGGAGGACGCTGGTTCGACTGGTGGGGATAGAGCACAACAATAGCGGCCGGATCAGAGCGAATTGATGTGGAGAGGCGGCGACTAGGGTTGTATACGGAATTTGGGGATAAATTGGGGAGTTTTTGCGTCCGATGGGGGATTGAGAATTAACTAACCAAAATATTTGGAAAATTCAGAGCTAAGTCTTTGAACTTCTTTTATTTTCGAATATTACCCAAAAACGTTTAAAACATACAATTTGATCCCTAAATCGATTAATTTATTTAATAAATTTTAATTTGACATTCGAGGTGTGACACGTTCACTGCTGGGGGACGGCTAAAACTCAGCTGAACATGAGACACGTAGGCGAGCTTTGCCATTCTGTAGAGTGGTGTAACTTCAATTGGACCTGCAGGGACGATCTAACGAAAATGATGAATAATAGATGCTACCAACAAATATAGAAACCAGGATTCACAATAATATCAAGTCGTAAGGGTGTTGCTTTTGCAGACACTAGACTGCCTTTTGGGATGAGTCTGCATCATTGGGTTAGCTTATTGAGGTTTTTCATTATTGGTTTACTTCACTTTGATGAGCCTTTAAAGGGCTAGATAGATAAGAATTACTTCAGTGATCATGATGAATAAAGGGATGGTACTTGAGACAATTTTGAAATACTTAATATTTTCCCCCTTGAGCTATTCTTACAATTACAAGTACAAAGTAATGAGGGAATTGCTTCCCAGTAAGTTGAACTAAATTACAAGGGCAATAGATTTTACTACAAACCAGAGGTTTTCCATATCCTAAATAACAAAAGATTTGCGCATGGACTTGGCATAAACTATCGTCTGTTTGAGCTTCTACGAACTTCATCACTTCTTCGAAATTCTGTATATTATGCTGGAAAAAACACATATATACATAGAGCTTATCCTCAATCATTTTTCACAATCTACACGAACTTCTAACCAGGGGTATGTTGTGTATTTATACAACTTCATCTGGGAATGCTGAAACAAATGATTGGTGTAGTGATATTGGCATTGTGGGCTGATTTACCCGATAAAAACTAACAAAATGCTGAGCGGTATGTTGGATTGAGGGGGGGAAACAATGAAGAATCCATACTTTCTGATGTGTTCTATCAGCTACAAATGACCTCCACAGCAAGTTTCTTCATGGCACTAGGACATGGATCTCCTCCAAACATTTCGGGTGCTACAGTCACCGTGCAGAAGTTTTGTCCTACACAAAGCTGCAAGAAAAAGACATGGGTTTATTATCCACTATTCCAACTAAACAAGTTGAAGTGTAAGAAAACGGAACATACCCTATTAAAAGCATCATAAGAGTGGTGAGCATGACAGCTTCCTTCACGGTAGCTTCCACAGACCCCTTCTGGAGTTCCAAAGCTGGCGAACTTCACTACCGATATTTTCTGCCCCGCATCACACTCTAAATGGACTTTTGGCCTTAGGGGTCTGTCAACTTTACCAGAGGCTTGCATCAGGTAATTCATCAGGGTTGGTTGCCACTCATAGATATCTGCACAAATGCTGTCAGTTTCTCTGCGAACCAAAGAAATCCCGTTTGGATCTCCGCCCCATTCCTCAAACACTACCAACAAGTTTCCGGTCGGGTTGAGCAATGAACGAGGAACATGATACCTAAACGTAAGTTAGCAACCACATGTCAGTCTATCAATAATTCCTTGTTTGTAAGAGAAATTGCAAAGAAGATTAGTTTGCTGCCTTACCATCTTTGAGATGCCTCCCCACAATTAGTTCCGCATTTTTTCTCATTAAACGTTCCAGCATAGTTACAGACACCGCAATTTCCAGATGCTTTATACGCAGGCCAGTGGCGTCCAATGCTCTGTCCATTAATCCATATCTGGCCTTTGCCCATACTATTCATGTCTAAAGCCAAAGGAGCATTCCCAGCTGGAGCATTGAAAATCGTCTGCAACATTAAAGATCGTCAGAAAAAGCTGCCTAAGGTTCAACAAAAGTGTCAATAAATTGGTTTTCTATTCATGCTTTTGATGAATTTTTGTAGGAAAAATGCAACTTTAGACAACAGATCGTGGATTACTTACTTTGTACCATGTCAGTGGTTGCCTTCGTGCCACAAATGACCCCTGTGACCACTCCACCGAGGAACTACCACTTAGTGAATGAAGATTCAATGCTTCTCCCTTAAGACCAATCTGCAAAGGGATAGATAACCGAACAACTCTTTAGGACACCAGAACTAATACAAGAACTAATACAAGTAAGCAGGAAAAAACCTTGTAAGACCATTTCTGCCATGAGAGATCTCTCCTTCCCTCGTTGAGACCATTCAATGTAACTGGGCCAAGAATACCGGCATTCCATGTCTCAAAATGTGGTCCGACATTCTGCATTCAATTTCAAACAACAAATTCAATAATCCATAAACAAATTCCATGGGTACAAAGCTGTCAGCAGAGGTTGACAGAGAGAGAGAGAGAACATACTGGGAGACCAACAGCAATGCTTAGAAGTGAAATTGTATTGATACCAGCTCTCAGATTAGCACCTTGGCTGAATGTTATTTTGGGGAATTCTAGACTTCCATAGGAACTTCCTGACAAATCCAATTAGAGGAAAAGAAAATGATCCGGGTCAGAAATACCAATTAACCTTGAAATAGGCACCACAAGCCAACAATTTCCAAATATAGCTATCACATGGCATGGTTTAAAAGCAACTTAAAACCGAAAATAGAAATCCGAAAACACCATTCCCACCTGATAGTTGACCGTTGACAAAAACATGCAAAGCATGGCCAGCTGATAAGACAGTAAGAACAGGAGATTTTCCATTTCTGAAGTATTCTTCACTGCGGTCAATCTTAACCCTGGGGATGGAAACAGTATGTAGAAAGTATTAGCAAGTCAAATACTGGAAACAGAAAATAGTTTAATAGACTCTTGCCTTATTTGTCAAGGAATAAAATAAAATGCTTTGTGATAATTGAGTTGAATAAAGAAAGATGATGCAAATTGAAATGTGAAATTGCTATTCACTACTTACTCTGTTGTGTACCACAAATAGTCGGTTGCATCTCGGGTTGTATTTATCTGCTCCAACAACCCCACCATTGTGAATGAACTGTCAACATCTGAAGCTGTCTCTTCATTGTATGCCTGCCAAGAGAATCCTCCATGCAGGGGAACTGGAACCATCTTCTTCCGTGAAACTTGGGCACTGATCTATTACAAAAGTTCCAATAAAGGTAAAAAATCTGTTCATCTCATACTATTAACCGGGGCAAAAAAATCGGTCGGTTCCTCTTGTATTAATTCTACAGAAAAACCCTTTGATGTGGAAACCATGTAAATATAAGCAACAGATATACGACAAAAATAGCATGTTACGATATTAAATTGGATAAACTTTCTTTGCAAGATGCTTGGCCAGAAATCATCTTGAGACAGTATTGCTGAAAACAGAACAAAACCGATAACAAGTTTATCAGATGTTTCTCACCCTTGCAGTATTAAACACCGTATTCTCGCAGTCAGGAAGAATGCTAATAGACCAAGGAGGCAGGTTGTAGTGCATGTTCCTAAAGACAACTTTTGAATAAGATCTTGGGTTGTAATTTGCGAGTAAGGCGGCACAACCTCCAGCTTTGTAATTAAATACATGAGCCTGTATGGTTCAAATGGAATTTATATGTAAGTTCTCGATACAAACCAATTTAGAGTATTATGGTTGAGGTTCTTAGAAAAATGTCATATTAACCTCCTCATAGTTTCCAAGTCGAATCACAGTTGGATCTCCATTTACTAAAGCTGGTTCACAGAGCTTTATAGCTCTATGTAAATCTTTCAAATGGCCCCATTTTGGTTGCCTCTTTAGTCCTGCTGACAGGAAATGGTTCCCCTTCAAATCAATATCAAGGAACTAATCAACTAATCCTTGAAATATATTTTCACTCAAAGTGAATGCTAATAACATAGAACATATGGTTCAAAAGAATGGAAACTAGATAATTCAGGGTAAACTTTGAAAATGCACCAATGGTACTTTCTGCATACCATATTCATCAAGAGGAGCATCATAATCGTAGCTAGTGGCAATGAAAGGACCCCCAGCAGTTCGGCCAAAATTTGTTCCTCCGTGGTACTGTTAACACAAGCAACAAGCATATATGAAATTACTCTTCCCCATAGACCATACTGAACTTGGTAAATTGAAGGGGAAAAAAGGTTGATTACCATATAATAATTTATGAAGGCTCCTCCTTTCTGTATAAACCTTGCAACTGCAAATGCCATGTCTTCAGCAGGTCGGTAAGGAACTGCCCCTCCAAACTCAGTATACCTACACCATAATTTAAAAAAAAAACATCAACCAAGAGACACCTCTATATTCTTGAGAACTGTAGTCGTTTCAAGAAAAAACGAGTCGCAAAAGATAATCCTTGCAGAAAAAAAAACTTACCAGCCTGTCCAGGCTTCAGTCCACATCTTTGGTTTGTAGGCCTTGTTCGGAGAAAAGTAGTCGCAGTAGAAGCCATTGCAGGCATTAATCTGTTGGAAGAAATAGAAGTTAACTCAAAAACACCTCACCTTGAACAACAGTCACTATCTAAGTTCAAACGGATGCAGTAATAATTGATGAAAGGAACATGGTCACTTATATATGATTACAAAAACTGGTAGTCCACAAGGAGCAAAATAGCGACTTTGTTAACCGATAGGAGTAGGAAATAGCAAAGCTGAGCCATGTGCAATGAGAAATTATAATTCATTTCAACTATGAGCAACAAGTAGACAACAGATTATCTAGTAACCCCACAAAAGAAGATTGAATATAATATGACTGCCACTAAACATCAGACAGGGACCATGTGGAAGAAAAAAGAGTTCAAAGATAAAAAGGCAAGCTATGCTTACAATAGGATCGGGTGCATCATCTTGCTTGCACATGACCCATGGGACACCGGTGCCTAGTCCCACTGCCATTTTAGCCGCCCAGTCACTGTAAGCTTTACCTGGTGCACCAAGTTCGTATTCCATGGGCCCATATTCATTTTCAATCTGTCAAAAGCAGAGATTATAAAAGTCACTATTTTTTAGGTCTTCATCATACCCCAATGAATATCCGTATCTTAAACTAAGAATACTCAAAGCAAAGTGCCGAATCAAGAAATTAACCAAAACTATAAATGTACCGAATTGTCTACCTGAGATAGAATAATAGGACCTCCTTGAGACTCAAATAACCTCTCAGCTTTCATCATACCAACAATCTTCTCTGTAAATCTTTGCATTTGAGCCTTCATCATAGGAATTCAGTGAGTGAGTATAACGGTGGAAATTTTATTTTTTTCTGATAATCACATTATTAAATGAATACAATGAAAATTTATTGATGGACGAAAACTGGCTAACCTTGAAGTGTCCGTTGTTTGTTCTGAAATTAATACCGGGAATGTACTTGAGCCATACAGGAAAACCCCTGAAAAATAAAATAAAATCATTGATTGAACTACATTTTATCGTGTTTTTTTATAATTTTTAGAAAATAAAATAATTTAGCATTACCCAAAGTTCCATTCAGCACAAACATAAGGACCAATCCTGAGATGAACATAGAGGCCCGCTTGCTTCACCAGCTTAATAAACTTGACCAAATCATAGTTGCCTTCGAAGTAATACTACAACAATAAAAAACACAGAGAAAACTCGGAACTTATGCCATTCACCAAAAAACACAAGCTCTGCGAAGCAGAAAGGAATAAAAATCAACAAAATGTTGCTTTTCATTACCTTGCCAGGTGCAGGCTCATGACCATTCCAGAAAACATATGTCTGAATCACATCTAGCCCTCCTTCTTTAGCCTTCTGTATAAGATCTGGCCACATCTGTAAAAACAAGAAACGCCCAGTTTTTTAGTAACAAAACAACTAACAGCGAACTTAAACATGCTACGTTAACATAAAGGAGGAAACTTCGGAAGCGCCCAGATGAAGAAATGAAAAGAAGAAGAAGAAGAAAGGCTAAACTTGTGGCGTTTAAATGGAAATAATACATATATATATATACCTCAGGGGAGCTTCTTGGGTAGTGAATGGATCCAGAAATGAGGATCCTTCTTTGGGCATTAATGGTGATAGCCTTACGGTCGTAGGAAACAGAGGCAGCAACTGAACAAACCCAGGAAGCCAGCAGAGCAACCAACAAAGCATTTCGCATTATAGGAAGCTTGAAGTTGGAGTTCACGGCCATGGCATAAAAAAAAGATATTGTTTTACACAAAGCAGTAACCTTCGTTGCCTTATTCTTTCACTTTGTACGTCACTTTATTCGATTCTTCACTGTCTAGGATTCTTTTCTAGGGGTGGGAAACAATCGCTTATAAAAAGGAATAAGGAGAGAGACAAATAAACATAAAAGCTAGCTGGCTATATCTTTTGTTTGTTGTCGAAATGAGCTCTTCTTTTTCTCTCTTAAATGTGAGATATTGAAAGAGGAAAGATAAGGTATAACCTAACACATTATTACAATGAGTTGCCTATAACTTGATTTGTGTTCTTCTTTTGAGTTTTTCGGATCAAATGAGATGCGAGGCTTCGATTTTTGCAACTGCTTTGCTGCTTCATTTATAAGCACTTAATCACGGGGGTTTGAAAGTGAAATGCGGGATGGGACCCCACTCTTCATCATACTCCGGTTTTAATCAAATTACTAATTGGTTAATTTCTCTGTTATTTAATTATTTTCCCCGCGCAATCTTATTATTTTATAGTATTTATTAAACTAATTAATTTGAATATTTATTTTTCACGAATTTTATATCCTTCTTTTTTGCACTCTTCTATTTTGACCGACTAAAAAACCACAAAGATTCTCTACACAAACCGAGGATCGGTTCTTAATAAATTGATTAATCTTTTATGTTTTTCACTTCATTTAACTTCCACTCTCTATTAATGCGCGTGCGAAATAAATACTACTGTGATAGGCGGAAGAAAAAGCATCACCATTAACAATTAGCAGTTGAATGCACGTATAAACAAGCGCGTGAAATATATCATCTCGATAGCTACAATAAATTGTAGGTGGGAAAACTTGTGCACAATTACCGCCAAACAAATACAAACAAATCATTTTAATATATTGTTTAGTTTCAACCTTTAGCAAATATATATTAATTACGTATTTTTCTAAATACCATCTTATCTAGTAATCTATATGCTAACAAACTCAAAATAAATAGACGAATAAGGGAATAAACCATGATATATATATTGACGGCGTTTGCAACAAGCGGAAGGGGAAAAAACATCTAAATAAAGGACCAGGAAAAAGACAGTATAATCTACCTGCCAGACACTATAAATATTTGAAGATTATTTGTAGTAATAGACAAGGTAAACCCTAGATTATACACGTTATGATTATAGTTGCTAATTGCTTGCAATTGTGGGGAGGTAACTAACCAAAGAATTGGGCAAAAGTTCCCATATAATGCTACAGGGAATTTTTAATTCCCAAACTAAAGTGTTCATCCGATTAATTCTTCAAATGGGGTATTTTCTACAGTAAATTTGGGATCTCTCGGCGTCTTTAGGGTTAACAAGATTTTTTGATAGGATTTCCTCGGCGTCTTCAGGGTTAATTAGATTTTTGGATTGTTTATTGGGATCTCTAGCCGTCTTTAGTGAAATCCATGAAAAAATTGGTTTTTTTACACAAATATCACATTAACATAAATTAATTACTTGTTAAGTACTGTTTAAGAATATTTTACGGATCTAGCAACTTTTTAAATACTTTCTATAAATTAAATCATATTTTGTATTAATTATTTAATTATTTAATTTTATTATTTTATTTTTTTGCAGTTATAAAATAGAAAGTGGTCCTTGAATAATTATATTCTTATTTCTCGGCTTTTAAACTTTTCTCTTGGCTGTAAATACGCTCTCAACCTGTAAACATTCACATCAATCCTCTAAACTAGAAGAATGTCGTCGCTTCAGTATATATATCCACGTGTTGAGAGCGTATTTATAGCCGAGAGAAAAGTTTAAAAGCTAAAGACGCCTAGAGATCCCAATAAACAATCCAAAAATCTGATTAACCCTGAAGACGTCGAGAGATCCTAAATTTACTGTAGAAAACACTCCATTTAAAGAATTAATCGAATAAACACTTTAGTTTGGGTTCCCTGTAGCATTATATGGGAACTTTGGCCCAAAGAATTGGCAATGATGATGATATTGATTTCCTTTCATAGTTTAGCCTTAGCTTCTAAATTTGCTTTTACTTTTCATAGCGTTGATGTTTATAATGCCCGTTTCTTCTAAAGTACTCCAACCCACCAAGGGTTGGTTCACAGACTCTAGAGATTTTGTTGTACAAAATTTATATAAAAACTATGGCGGAGAATTATATTCTCAATTTTAACTGATACACATTTTGCATCTTACCGTATCTGTTGATAAATGACCAGAACAGTAATAATCCCCAGAAGAAATGCAAGTTGCACTGAAAAATGGGAAACTAGTATTGTTGTGCACTTGTGCTATCAAATCAGGTTATTATTTGCCTAAGCTGTCGTTGAAAATTCCAGTATGCAATACTTAAATAATTAATAGTTATATATTTAATCCGTCACATCCATTAGGGACGTGAATCAGTAAATGTGCATGTGCACCCTTCCATCGTGCTGGCTATGTTTTTTCATCCTAATTTATTATATATCTAATAATTTAGATAACGTGAAATTATTAAATTATTTCATTAATATAAAAAAAATTTAGATTTTAAGTTTGTGTAGCTACGTTGGCGTGATATATATTATCAACTATTAAAAAATATTATAAATAAGATACTATCTGATAATCATTTTAAACTATTAGAAAGAATATAAATAACGTGTATTTTCAAACTTTTTTTCGTATGTATTTGAATGTTTTTATTACAGTGATGGGGGTAGGGCAGGAATGACATATCAGCAGAACAATGGAAACAGGTCGATGTTTGAAGAAAGAAGGAAATTGTGGCTACCTTTTATTGATACCAAATTATAAAGAGAAAAAAAGGGGAGAATTTGTGAGTTTATCTCAAATATGGATAAGTTTGCCACACACACAAATAGGCAGCCAATGAGGTCTACATCGTTGGAGTTTTATGGGTCCTTTCCAACCCATTTAAACACTCGCTCTCTTTTGCTCTTCATGTGGGCCAAAATTAACATTATGTGGGTCTAAAAGTTCAAATCTATGATATTTAGTGGACTTTTCGTTGAGTAGGCCCATTTTTGTTCTTCATGCTAACATATTAGCTAGGATGGCAAACGGGTACAGTTTCGTTGATTCCGCACCGCATCCGCTCCAATTGGAGCGGGGATGGGTATAATTTTAGCCGGTAGTGGGCGGGTGTGGATTTATAAAGTGGTACCCGTCGTGGGTGGTGGGCGGGTAATGGGTTTGAGACATTACCCGCCCCGCATCCGCCCGTCCCGCATCCGCCCGCCCCACATCCGCCCACCCAGCTAAATATCTATTAAATTTTGGACCATTATAAATTTAGGTGTAATTTTAGAGACTAATTTATAAATTTTAATATTGTATAATATATAACATGTAATTTATCCAAATATTAAGGATATTTAGTCTTTAATCTGGTCTTTAATTAGGAAAATATTCGGCTCTTTGATTAAACCCATAATCCCACTAACCACGTCACTTTCCATGTTCTTTAGCCTATGCTGCCCATCCAAACACAAATTAGTCGTACTATAAGCATTAACATCAAAAGCAACAGTTTCCATGTTCTTTAGTCCCTCAAAACCCATATTAGGCACACTATGAGCATTAACATCGAAAACAACACAACAATCCAGCTCTGCGACTACATGCTCCCTACAATTTCTCCATAACATTCGTAGAGTTACTCCTCTGACAAATTGAAACATGCGCTGCTACCCATCACGAACTTTGGGAACCAACTCCAACATCCCATTAGTTGCTGTCAGGCGGGTCTAGATGGGTATGTCGCTAGTGGGTAGTGGGTGGGGATGGATTGAAAATACCCGCGTGAGCGGGTGTGGATTTGAAAATTTGTACCCATCATGGGTGGTGGGCGGGTGGTGGATTGAAAAATATTATGTGGGTATAGGGATGGGAGAGGGGGTATCCGCACCCGACCCGCCCGTTTGCCATCCCTAATATTAGCCAACCTGACATCATTAAAATCAATTGGATTCTTCAGCACCTTTATTTTTTTATCTACTTGTATTTATTTTATATAAATAAAATTTAAATATAAAATAATTTATTTTAAAAAATGCTCATAATTGAATAATATTAACTTTTATAACTTGAGTAGTTGTATAAATGCAATTATTAAGAATTATCATATTTATATCAAAGTAATTCATTTGTTAAAATAAATTGTTATATGAAAGTTCCAATATCTGTTTAAATTTAGTTTTTTTATCTAAAGTTTTTTAACGGTTAATTTTTAATAATTGCAAATTTATGATTATCATTAAATAAATTAGAGACCTTACAGAAAATAGAACCCTGAACAATCGTTCAAGATGCTCACTAGTCGGCTCTGATTTTCATTAACTTTGCTTAGGCTACCGTAGGTCCATATAAGAACTTAAAATATCGCATTAGGCATGATTATTAGCGTAGCGTTAAACGATAACGATGGAGTATAAAAAAAATTAAATAATCGAACATATAACTTTTGTTCATGAATTTGAATAATATGATGTTTTTCAACTAGTAATATATAAATTTTACTCTCAACGATAATATTCATCTCTATATATATTTTTCAATTATATCTATATTTTTATTGATTAAAAGTAATATTTTTTATAAATATATTTATTTTGGGTCGGGTTTAGGTTTTATCTCAAAATTTGGATCAGGTTAAGATCGGGTGAAATCACTATAATCTCAAATCGGGTCGATTTCAGGTGAATAGGATATATTTTCGAGTCGAATCAGGCTTATCGAAAATCTGACCCAAGCTTGCATCCCTACCCACGAGTAAATATTTTAAAAAAATTGTAAACTACAAGTTTAGTATCTAATCATTACTTTTGTTCCTTTTTTAGTATATAAACTTTATTTTATTTTTTCAAAATCATGCCTAACGTTTAGTTTATGTTTCAATTTGATACCTCACTGTTAAAAAAACTACTGACGTTATATTTTTTATTTTTCAATGATGATGTGACATTTTCTTATGATGAAACATCAACATCACTATTAAATTTTTAATGCCAGGGTA